TGCGCCCCCCGGGGGGGGGGCGGGGCGCGGCGAGCCCCGGGCTCCGGGGAGGCGCGGCGGCGCCTCAGCGCCTCGCCTGCAGCTGGGGGCTGTTCTCCCGAGCGCCTTCAGCCGATCCCCGGGGCGGGGGCTGAACACGCCCCTGGCGGGTCCGGCTTCTGAGCGGCCGAGCTGGGGAGGTGACCGTGACCTCGGTTTGTTGAAGATGCGTTGCCACTGCCCTGACTGGGGCGGGGGGGCGACCAGGTGCTTGCTTCGGGCGTGGCTGGTTTTAACCGTGCGCTGCAGGGCTGGTACTTCGCACTGAGATGCTCGGTGTTAGGACAAAAGACAGCCTAGGCCCCTCTCACCGGCTGGTCTGCTGCGCCTAGGCTTACATAGCGTCTTTTGTGCGTACTCCTTGTCGTGAATTGTGTGTGATCCAGCATGTAACTGGCGAGGTACTGGGGCTTCTCCTTCTCAGCACCGTCTGGGTAGATAGATGTGACAAACCTATGTTCATGCGTCCACCCGCACGTGGCCCACTCGTGCTGTCTGTGTGCTGCCTTATGGGCTCGGGCACAGATCTACACGCCTCCGAGTTCTGCACAGCCCCCAGTCCTTGGAATCGTGGGCTTCACGCAGAGACAAGCATGAAGTGCATGCACAAATACAGCCACGGTTGCCAGCCAGTTCTTCTATTCTACCTTTCTAGCAAAGAAGTAGCTGCATTGCTTGATTAAATGGTTTTGTTCAGTAGCGAATACAGTGTAAAATCTGCTTTCGAGCAGTGTTTTTTAATTTTCACGAATCAAAAAATAAGACAGTAGGAATGAACGTGGTTTCTCGTCTAAAAGGAACAATTCAATTCTAATGCTCGTTTTAGTGTTTAATGCAAACATCCTACTGGTTATAGACTAGGAAAACAGATTTTTATGATTTTTTTTTTTTTTAATTCTCATTACATTTTCCACTTGTAATTTCATATCAGTGGGCTGAAATCAAACTGTGTCTGAATACTCATGTTATTCTAGAAATATCACTTTCTCCATATCTTTTTTTTCTTGTAGCAGGATCTTTGATGACCACAAAGCATTCACAGCCACAGTCTACATTTGCAAAAAGTCTAACTTCAACAAGTACAAATACTCCCTATTTTAAAGCAGCAGGTACAATATTACGTTGTTTCTTTTGTTTTTCTTCCGTGAGCCTTTTTCCTCAGTGTCTTGAGTTTACTTTAATAGTAAACTTGAATTACGTCTTAGAAACCTGTACATGCTTTCACAGTGGTAAAAGGCATTATAGTATAACACATTATGAATTACTCTTCAGTGACCTTAACAATTAGTTTGGATTATGTAATTAGAAAATTGGTCCATATAAGATCTTACAACTAGAAAATGACCAGTTAAACTGCCGTTGTGGCTCATGTGTTTTACATGAGCCTGTCAGGATGGTGGAAGTTCTTGAAAAACTCCAGTATTCTGCAAGAACTCGTTACTGTTCTGTATCCAACGTAAATGCAGGTTTTCTAGCAAAGGGATGTGTCAGGATTGGCTGAAACACCGTTCTTGCTAGTAATTTAAGAGGTGATTCTGAACACGTACGAACAGCAAATGGCTGAGCTAGCTGTAAGCAATTAGACCTGAACTAAAAGTAGGTTACATGTGTCAGCCTGCTTCTGTACCTAAACTGATTACTTCCGCTGAGAAATACTGGCTGAGGCGGCACTAATCCATGCTAAGCTCTGTTCTGGTGCTGTACGGAATTGTGTTGCTGTGCTGTCCTGTACAGAACTTCGGTGAGATCCTTGCAGGGTACCCTGCTGTGTTGTGTAGCTCACGTGACTAACGCAGTGGTTCCCACAAGGCAAACTTGTAATGCTGTTCACCGTATAATAAGGAAATCCCTTTACACAGTGTCAGTGCGTGTGTGCGTATATGTATGTGTGAAAGAAAACGTGTATATATACTTTAGACTATATAGCTTTTTTATTCGCTTTCTTAATTTTATTCATGTATTTCACCTTTCAGAAAGTACAGAAATTCCATCTTACGTGACTAAATGTCCTAGCAACGGGCTTTGCAGTAGATTGCCACCGGACTGTATGACATGTAACACAAACTACTCCTGTATATACGGGAAGCCGGCCACTTTTGATTGCAGAGTCAAGCCACATGTTCATTGTGTTGTAAGTAACCTGTTACTTTTAAACCCAAATTTAAGTACTTTAATTAAAAACTGGTGCATCTTATCATAAGATACAAAAAACTGATTTCCAGGTTGTTCCATAGGCAGTTTTGCAGATCTGTGATACATTTAATCATTCAACTGTAGGCCGTTGCTGAAGAGGCAGACCTACCCTTCTCTGTTTTGCCTTTCTTGCATTGGATCTTTTTGTTACGCAGCCATGCAATTGAGTTAAATCAATTTGTTGACCAATCAAAATTGAACCATTTTGAGGGTGGGGAGGCTAAGTATCTGTCAGAGCTACAAACTGACCTTACAGGTGAGGCTGAATGAGTCCTCCTTTTGGCAGTAGCCTTAGATTGGAGGAAGCAGTAATGTTAAACTGTGCTTTAATAACTCTTTGTCAAGTTTTCTAATGTTGACTTTTCTATTCTACTTGACTACATAGAGGTAGCAAAGAAGGTAATTGTTATTTTGTCCAAAATGTCTGCCTATGAAATGTAATTTGATAGTGCACACTGAATTTTTTGTTACTACTAGTGAAGTGATAATGCTGTCCTTTTATAGGATCAGAATAACCACGAGCAGGAGAACTTTACAATTAACATGACATGCCAGTTTTGCTGGCAGCTTGCAACAACTGATTACGTATGTACCAATTCTACAAACTGCATGACGGTTTCTTGTCCGCGACAACGATATAATGCCACTTGTACAGTACGGGATCATATTCATTGTCTAGGTAAGGTGGGCTAAAACAGGTTCTGTAAAGAAGCTTTTTTCCTAAAGAATTTCTTCACATTTTTTGTAGTGGGTCAATACAATGACTGTTTATGTCCATTGCAGTTACAGCCTGCACCTTGATAAATCTGTTGAATATTTTTATAGTTACATTTTAACTTTTAAGAGTAATAGTGACAGCTAACTGTAAGCATTGGCTTTTAATACTGTTGTATACCTTAACGTGAGAGAAAATAGTTCTGTTTTATTTTTGTCACAAGTTCTATGAATTAAACTAATTTGGACACCCCTAACAGAATCAATATCAAATGTCTCAGTGGGATAATTAAAAAAAAATTCATGCTGGCTTCACCCAACTAGTTTAATTTTCCCCCTATTTGTTCAGTGACCTGGCATGTTTTCTGATGTGGGACAAAGGTTGAGGGAACAGAGGACTGTGGAGTATATATGAGCTTTTGTGTTGAGAGTGTTTGTTTCAATTAGTGTCAACCCTTTTTGGCTCTTGTTAGAGAAATACAGTATCTTCTTGCTTGTCATTTGCTTACTCATTATGTGGTCTCTTGTTTGTTACATCAAGGTTTGAATGTTTTCTAATGTTTAGGTAATCGTGTCTTTCCTAAGATGCTCTACTGCAACTGGACTGGAGGGTATAAGTGGTCTACTGCCTTGGCGCTAAGGTACACGAGAACTATTAGATGACGTCAAGCTAAAATAGAGAATATTATTAGAAACAGATTGTCTGTCTAAAATCTTCAGTTTATGTGCTTTTCTGCTTGGTATTTTTTCATGGTGTATTGAGTAACCAATATTTCATATAGTCTAGCTTAGAATTTGGAGGCATAGGACGCCCGAAGATTTCATATGCAACGATACTAGCTGTCTTCAGTTAAATAGAGCTTGAGCGAAAACATTTACTCTATTTCTGCATCAAATGTACTTTCTTCAGAGTAAATGCTAATGATTCTTAGGCTTCACAAAGTGATCATTTTCTCAGTAGAGAGGACATGATTGCTTTTATTCTGTGTGGTGTCAAACGAGGTACAAATGCTCCAAAAAATCTGCAGATTTATGTTTTTTTTTCTCTCAGGTTTTTATATGTTTTAAACAATCAGGGCTGAAAACTGTCCAAATTACTTGTTGGCATCTGAAATTAATGCCAACAATTTTTGGCATTGAAATTTGATAGATGTCACAGAGCTGGCTATAGTTGGTATACTTCTGTTACGGCTTCCTTCCCAGCTGTAACAGCTAGAAATGCCTTCAGACGGAGCTTCTTGCATTTTAAATTGTTAGGGAAGAGACCGGTGTAGCAGTATTGAAAGAAACTATTTAGTTTATTTTTGGAATATTAAGCCATTAGAGCACCGGTTACTTTCAAATCACTATTGTGAAGTTCTTTTGGTGGAAAGACCTTTTTCATTAAATTTTACTATTTCAAAAGTGGTTAATAGTATAAATGAGGTAGTAAGACCCTCTATTCCTGGAGCAAAAGGTACAATAAGACTCTGATTAAGAAAGCGATCTAACACACTTCTCGTCGTAGCAAGAGTTGTTCTCTCTGCCACCAGCTGGAGAAACTTACTGTTGCCTGACTACTGCGTGGGTCTGAATATAGCGTTTGCGTCTGTTTCTGTAGCTTGCTTGTTGGGGTTTTTTTTAGCTTCTGCTAGCTTAGAATAGTCGAAATACATTTATAAATTTGAGAGTTCTGGTTTTTATTGCTTGTCATGAATGAGAAACTGTCAAGTCTCTGGATAGTATTATTTAGCTGAGAAATAGTGCTATTTCATCAAAAGTACCATTTAATAATCCAGTTAGCTCTTTTTGTACAAAAATATAGTTTCTTGGATGATGTAGAGCAAAACTATCATCAGCTTGCAGGTATGTTAGAAGTGTGTATGGATACCCAAACTGACTTCATCTAAAAATAATAATCATGTTTCTATTCTTATAGCATCACCCTTGGTGGATTTGGTGCCGATCGTTTCTATTTGGGCCAGTGGCGGGAAGGTCTGGGAAAACTCTTCAGCTTTGGTGGACTTGGAATATGGACACTAATTGATGTGCTACTAATAGGTGTTGGCTATGTGGGACCTGCAGATGGTTCTCTGTATATTTAAATGGTGCAATGTGTTTCAGAGAGGAGTAATTGCTTGGAAAGGGCTCTAAATAAAAGAATGTAGAGATTTGAGCCTTTAAGGTAGAATGAAGAACAACTGTTCTTTTTATGTGCATACATCTTAATGTACAGTATCTGTACTTAGTTTGCCTTTAACTAAGGTAAAATAAAAGAGTGGATCACCGAGTAAGTTGAAATTCATTTTCTTTCTTCTGTGGACGTGCTGTTTTTCTATGAAAAAAGTTGAACAGCTAACCAAATTCTGCACTGTGCTTGAACTTGGATGATCTGTCAAGCACCAAAAGAGATGCAAACTAACTTGAATATTGAGTTGTTTACTTCGTATTTGTATGCTTGAATCTAACTTTAAAGCTAACTTCCCTAAATATGCCAGTAATACTTTTTTTTTTTATTTGTGGGAGGATAATTTATTTGCCTGAATTACTCTAGCAGTATGTAGATGGCCACGTTTTATGATATTAATTACATTCATCTCTGTTCTGGGATATAGCAAGAGCTAACATTTGCTTAGTGACTTGTTGACTTAAAATTGTGGGAGTTTTAGAATTAGATTTGCAGTAACACTAAAAGCTAAATATGAAATAATTGAGATAGATTTTAGGACTGTTCCAGAATGTCTATTTTGGTTGGGTTTGACCTGCATATCAGTGAAAGGTGCAACTCGTGTTCTTGTGCTGTAAGCTTGCCAAGTTAATTTAGAAAAAGGGTTGGTGATACAATCGATGCGTTTATCCACTTACGACTTCTTAACGGGATAATGTAGCAAACTGTAGTAAAACTGAGTTTAGTTCACCTAAATACCCAAAGGTGGCTGCCTACCTCTCGGCCGGGC